GATGGGAACAGGGATGGGAGCAGAGATGGGAACAGGGATGGGAATGGAGATGGGAATGGAGATGGGAACAGAGATGGGAACAGAGATGGGAACAGAGATGGGAACAGAGATGGGAACGGAGATGGGAACAGAGATGGGAGCAGAGCTGGGCAGACACAGCCCGGCCAGAACCACCTCCAACCCACCTGACATCCTCCAAGAACTTGTCAAGCTCCAGGAAGGAAACCTCTGAGTACCTGGGAGGAGGAAGGCAGGAGGGATGTGAAGGATTGCTGGGCCCTGGCACTGGGATCTCCAGGCTGGAAGCACAGCCCTGGCGCTGGGATCTCAAAGCACAACCCTGGCACTGGGATACCCCTGGCACTGGGATATCCAGGCTGGGAGCTGGGCCCTGGCACTGGGATCTCCAGGGTGGAAGCACAGCCCTGGCACTGGGATCTCCAGGATGGGAGCTGGGCCCTGGCACTGGGATCTCGAGGCTGGAATCACAAACCTGGCACTGGGATACCCCTGGCACTGGGATCTCCAGGCTGGAAGCTGGGCCCTGGCACTGGGATACCCCTGGCACTGGGATCTCCAGGCTGGAAGTAGGGTCCTGGCACTGGGATCTCCAGGCACTGGGATGTCCAGGCTGGAAGCAGGGCCCTGGCACTGGGATCTCCAGGCACTGGGATGTCCAGGCTGGAAGCAGGGCCCTGGCACTGGGATCTCGAAGCAGGGCCCTGGCACTGGGATACCCCTGGCACTGGGATACCCCTGGCACTGGGATCTCCAGGCTGGAAGCACAGCCCTGGCACTGGGATGTCCAGGCTGGGAGCTGGGCCCTGGCACTGGGATACCCCTGGCACTGGGATGTCCCCCCTGCTCACCTCCACTGGGCTCCAGGCCTCCCCTCCCTGCGGATCTCGGCCATCACCATGTTCAGGTCCAGCTCCTTGATCTTCTCCTCCACCACGTTCTCTGGCATCAGATCTGGGGCAGGGGCAGAGGGGGGGGGGGGTGGGGGGGGGGTCCGGGGGGGTGGGAGCTGCTGCCCAGACCCCCAGGGAAGGGCTGAGTCGCTGCCTCCTCCCTGGCTCTGCACTGGGAATCATGGAATGGTCTGGGTGGGAAGGGACCCCAAAGCCCATCCAGTGCCACCCCTGCCATGGGCAGGGACACCTCCCACCAGCCCAGGGTGCTCCAGGCCCCATCCAACCCTGGCCTTGGACACTTCCAGGGATCCAGGGGCAGCCACAGCTTCTCTGCCCAACCTGTGCCAGGGCCTCCCCACCCTCCCAGCCCGGAATTCCTTCCCAATATCCCAATATCCCATCTCTCCCTGCCCTCTGGCAGTGGGAAGCCATTCCCTGTGTGCTGTCCCACCATCCCTTGTCCCCAGTCCCTCTCCAGCTCTCCTGGAGCCCCTTTAGGCCCTGCAAGGGGCTCTCAGCTCTCCCTGGAGCCTTTCTCTTCTCCAGGGGAACCCCCCAGCTCTCCCAGCCTGGCTGGGTGGGATGAGCCCCCCCCCCAGAGCCCCTGGAGGGTGTGCCAGGGCTCACACTGGTGGTTGAGCCCCCCCTGAGCCCCCCAGAGGTGTTCCAGGACTCACAGTGGTGGTTGAGCCCCTCAGAACCCCCCCAGAGCCCCCCGGGGGTGTCCTAGGACTCAC